ACGCGCCACCATGCCCAGCTAATATTTTGTAGTTTTAGTAGAGACGGGGTTTCACCATGTTGACCAGGATGGTCTCGATCTCTTGACCTCGTGATCCACCCGTCTCGGCCTCCCAAAGTGCTGGGATTACAGGCGTGAGCCACCGCGTGAGGCAGAACTTATATACATACGAGTGAGTACTTGAGAGGAAATTCAGCCAAGACCAAAAGAACTGCCCAGGTAGGTAGCCCAAATGGCTGACCCACGGAATCATGTGCTAAATAAATGGCTGCATTTTAAGCTACTAAAGAAACCAAAAATTGGAAAACTGGAGTGGACTATTTGTTACATAGCAAATACTAACTGATACACCCTATAAGGAACTGGTTTGCTTCCTGGGTTGAACTCCCTTTATTCCCACCTTGCCTCCTATTCAAGGAAGCCAGAGAGGCAACTCTAATTCTCACCTTCACTTGAGAGATCAGAGGAGCCCTATAATTTCAGATTCCATGCATACCTGCTGTGTGGGTACTGCCCAGTTCTGTGTCCTGCTCCTGATGCCCGCTGGAGGTCAGAGGGCTAAGGGCTGCCAGGTCAGAGGAGGACTCCACAGGGCCACCACCCGGCCTCCTTGAGATGGCTCCAGGGCTGAGCGTCTGCGGGGCTTGCTCTGAACTCTGCAAGAGGGAAAATATGAATAAGGCAGTTGCCTCTCCCAAGAGCTCGAAAAGGGCAGCTTGTGCTTGTGGGGCGTCTCCTACAGACCTCAGCCTACACCACGAAGCACAGGAGCCAGGGAGCCCTTGCTTGGGTTCTGGTAATTGCCAGACCCTCTGTCCATAGGTGTCCTTGCATTTACCTCACAGAAAACACACAGCATCCCTGGGGGACTCCCTGTCCATCTGTGTGGCCCTGCAGAAAGGTCTCCCTCTCGGCAGCCACTGGCTTTCTCTTCATGGCTGTCACCGCTAGCTGATCCCCTGCCCTGATGCTGCCTCCTCTGCCCCTCCCCTTTCCCACCTCCACATTCATCCCACCCCTACCACAGCCACTGTGTTCAGGGGATCACAGACCCCTTTCTTAGGCTTCAGGTTCATGATTTGGTGTCTCCTTGGACACCCCACTGCCCACTCATTTATCTTCAAAGAATCGGTCATCTTTCCCCCAAACTTGACCTTTTGGCAATAATGACAGCCCTGCCAATCACCCCTGCCCCCATAATCGCCTGCTCCCTCACTCTCCCTCATCTGGCCCCTCCCTGGGTTCCTCCACCCAATGCAATGTCTCATATGGAACATTGCAAAGACCTCAAAACTGTGGTCTCCAGCCAGGGGTGGTAGCTCACGCTGGTAATCCCAGCACTTTGGGAGGCCAAGGTGGGCAGATCACCTGAGGTCAGGAGTTTGAGATCAGCCTGGCTGACATGGCAAAACACCATCTCTACTAAAAATACAAAAATTAGCCAGCATCGTGGTGGGTGCCTGTAATCCTAGCTACTCGGGAGGCTGAGGCAGCAGAATCACTTGAACCCAGGAAGTGGAGGTTGCAGTGAGCCGAGATCACTCCACTGCATCATTCCAGCCTGGGCGACAGAATGAGACACTGTCTCAAAAAAAAAAACAAACCTGTCATCTCCCAGCTGGTTGGTGACAGAGGATTAGACTGCCACAGGATGAAGACCTGGTCAGCAGTCTGGAAGCTGGTCTGGGGCAGATCTCCCCTAAGGAAGCCTTGGGTTTCTGAGTAAAGATTAGGCATAATTTGTAGTGGACAGGAGAGGGTTTCTGGAGGAAGGCTCATGGGCAGAAGTGGGCAGACAGGAACACAAAAGCAGGTGGCTCAAGGTGGACTGTGAGGACAGACCTCTTCCAGGGACTCTGGCGGCTGGGTCTCCTGGACAGGCATGGGGTAGCTTGACTCCTTCTCTCTGTAGCCATTGTAGGGGATGCTGTGGGCCGCAGCAGGCGTGGAGGGTCCTGGCACCTCAGCAGAAACTGACGGTGGCTCCAGTGGAGCTGGGGGATGTTCCGGGGTCCCTGGAAGACAAAGATGCAGTGATATCAAGAAGGAATCAGGGGCTGGGTGCCATGGCTTACGCCTGTAATCCCAGCACTTTGGGAGGCCAAGGTGGGTAGATTGGGAAGTCAGGAGTTTGAGACCAGCCTGGCCAACATGGTAAAACCCCATCTCTACTAAAAATACAAAAATTAGTGGGGCATGGTTGCACGCTCCTGTAATCCAGCTACTTGGGAGGCTGAGGGAGCACTGCTTGAAGCTGGGAGGCGGAGGCTGCAATGAGCTGAGATTGCGCCACTGTACTCCAGCCTGGGCAACAGAGCAAGACTCCATCTTGGGGGTGGGGGCAGGGTGGAAAGAAGGAATCAGGAACTACAGGGAGGCTGAGGCTGCAGTCAGCCGAGATCGTGCCACTGCACTCCAGCCTGCGCGACACAGCGAGGCTCCATCTCAAAAAAAAAAAAAAAAAAAAAAAAAAAGGAATCAGAGGTATTCCTCATGATGGAAGAGGCTTGGGTGCTCTTGGGTACACCCCCTGCCCCACCCATAGTTCCAAAAGCTGTTCTGATGTGGGTCCACTCCTCAGAGTGACAAGCTTCACTGGCAAGGGGGGCAGGAGTGGGAAGGAGAGAGCAGTTGGAGGACAAGGGAGCAAGGGAGCAGGGAGACTGTGTGCGGGGGCATCATGGGTCTCTCACCACCCAGACCATGTCAGCAGTCACCCTCCTCTGTCCCCAGACATCCTGGGACCCAGTGGCTTTCTCCTCCGCATGGTTGTCATTGCTCACTGACCCCTACCCTGATATTGCCTCCTCAGCCCCTCCTCTTTGCCTCCACCACCCATCAGGCCCTTCCACAGCCATTGTATTCAGGTGATCACTATTAGTAATCTCCATACATGAAGAGACATATTTAAAAAGAAGGAGGGAAAAGGAAGGAAGAAAGAGAGAAAGGGAAGAAGAAAGGGGGGGAAGCAAGGAAGAGAAAAAGGAAAGAAAAGCAAACATGAGAGCCAGACACGGTGGCTGACACCTATGATCCCAGCACTCTTGGAGGCCGATCGCTTGAGCCCAGGAGTTCAAGACCAGCCTGGGCAACATAGTGAGACCTTGTCTCTACAAAAAAATTCTGAAAATTAGCCAGGTGTGGTGGCACATGCCTGTAGTCCCAGCTACTCTGGAGGCTGAGGTGGAAGGTCCGCTTGAGCCCAGGAAGTCAAGGTGGAAGTGAGCTATGATTGCACCACTGCTCTCCAGCCTGACAGAGCAAGACTGTGTCTCTAAAAGGGGAAAAAAAGGAGAGAGAAAGAAAAGAAAAACATGGATTTCCCACAGTTATAAATGTGACCAGGGGCTGGGTGTGGTGGCTCAGGCCTGTAACCCCAGCACTTTGGGAGGCCGAGGCAGGTGGATCACCTGAGGTCACAAGTTTAAGACTAGCCTGGCCAACATGGTGAAACCCTATCTCAACAAAAATATAAAAATTAGCTGGGCATGATGGCAGGTGCCTGTAATCCCAGTGACTCAGGAGGCTAAGGCAGGGGAATCACTTAAACTTGGGAGGCAGAGTTGTAGAGAGCTGAGATCATGCCACAGCACTCCAGCCTGGGAAACAGACCAGGACTCCATCTCCAAAAAAAAAAAAAAAAAATGCGGTCAGGGTCTTGAGGGTTACCACCAGTTTGAAATATAAACAGAACTGGCTTGATTTTTCTTCCTGTGTCTTGATCTCACTTGAGATCAGATTCCATCTCACCAAATCCCCTCCGAGCACTGAGAATGGCCGGGACACTGAGAGGAACTAAAGGAATACCTGGGCAGCTGGTAGAGGGCATAGAAGGCTCTCAGGGTAAACCAGGGGAGGGGAAGAGAAAGTGGAGAGAGGGAGGGTGAACAAGTAGGTTGGGAAGAAGAAATGAGGAGGGGTGGGAGGCAAACGCTACAGGCGTGAAAATTAGAGGAGACCCCATGTGCTGGGCATACGGGAAGTGCGAAGCCCAGGTCAGCACTCAACACGCAACTTCCCACGCTGTCACCCACTGCAGCTCCCCTTGGCAGACACTGCCATGAGCTCCATGTTACAGAGGAGAGGCCTGAGGCTCAGGGAAATTTAGGGACTTGGCCAAAGGGACACAGCTAGTAAGTGGTTCAGCTTGGATCTACACCCAGGTTTATTCGCTGCTTCAGTGTGACAAGGAGGATGAACAGAGAAAGGCAGGAGGTACAGAGAGAGGGGAAGGGAAAGCAGAGGCCGAGGAGCAGGCCAGGGTTCCAGAAGGAGAGCCAGGACAGGATGCTCACGAGGCTGGTAGCTCTGGTAGACACGGGCCACTTCATCCGCGAGATCAGACAGCTCACAGGCCCTCAGCGCCACAATGAAGGACTCCACCCAGCCGGGTCGCCGCTGAAGGGTATTGAAGAGATGCCAGAGGGTGTCCCGGTTCCCTGAGAGTGTGCAAGTGGCCCGCAGTCGATCCTGGAAGATACAGTGCCACTGTCCTGCTCAAGCCAGGCAGCCCCAGCCGCTTCCCTACACAGAATGAAGCCACAGCGGTGGGGGGCGGGGGGGCGCCAAGAAAGCCACAGGAGCAAGGTGGCCATGTGAAACTGGATCAGAGCCCAGGACAAGGTCAGGTATGGAGTGAGGAAGGGCAATTAGCAGCAATAGCTGCTAAAGAAACTGGCAGCCGCCAGAAACTAGCAGTTACTATTTCCCGAGCTTTCCGTTAAGGGCTTTGCATGCATCATCTTATTTAATGCCATTATCATCCCCACTTTACTTAGCAGAAGCAAAGTACTATAGCAAACATCTTACAACAGTGGGGCAGGAATCCAAAGCCAATTAATCTGATACAAAAGTGTTGGGTTTATATGGCCCCCAGGGCAAAAAGAAAGCTTTGGATTAGGAGAGAAGGAAAAGGTAGATAGCAAAGGTATGAAGAAGGGGTGAAAGAAGGAAAGAGAGGGGGCCAACAATAAGAAACAAGGAAGCTGAGAAGGCTGGGGAGATTCTGGGCAGATGACAGTGGCTGCAGTTTTTTTGGGGGGGGGTTCCTTTTTTTTTTTTCTTTTTTCTTTCTTAGTGCATCTATGTGGACAAGTTTCCTTTTTTTTTTTTTTTTTCATTATAGTTTTTTTTTTTGTTTTCTTTTGTTTTTTTTTTTTTTTTTTTTGTGGGTGCTTTTTGGGCCTTTTTCTTTTTTTTTTTTTTTGAGACAGAGTCCTGTTCTGTCGCTCAGGCTGGAGTGCAGTGGTGCAATCTCAGCTCGCTGCAACCTCTGCCTCCCAGGTTCAAGCACTTCTGCCTCAGCCTCCCAAGTAGCTAGAATTACAGGAGCCCACCACCACGCCCAGCTAATTTTTTTGTATTTTTGGTAGAGACGCGGTTTCGCCACATTGGCCAGGTTGGTCTTGAACTCCTGACCTCAGGTGATCCACCCGCCTCGGCCTCCCAAAGTGCTAGGATTACAGGCATGAGCCACTGCACCAGCCCTAGAGTTTTTATGTCTACCTGAATTCTCACATAAAACAAACAACCAGACAGCAGAAACAAAAACCCACAGAATCCTGCAGGAGCTAGATTTTAGAAAAAGGAAAATATTTTTTAAATAAAAAAATAGGCAGAGCACAGTGGCTCATGCCTGTAATCCCAGCAGGGAGGGGAGGCTGAGGCAGGAGGATGAGGCTGAAGGGAGGCTGAGGCAGGAGGATTGCTTGAGCCTGCAAGGCAGAGGTTGCAGTGAGCCAAGATAGTGCCACTGCACTCCAATGTGTGTGACAGAGTGAGAACCCATCTCAAAGCATGTGTGTGTGTGTGTGTGTGTGCTCGCGCACGTATACTGCTGTAGTGGCTCATACCAGTAATCCCAGCACTTTGGGAGGCCAAGGTGGGAGGATTGCTTAGGCCCAGAAGTTCGAAACCAAAGAAAAATACAAAAATTAGCTGGGTACGGTGCTGTACACCTGCAGTCCCAGCTACTTGGGAGCTGAGGTGGGAGGATCAGTTAAGCCCAGGAGTTTGAGGCTGCAGTAAGCCATGATCGCAACACCACCACACTCTAGCCTGGGCACCACAGTGAGACCCAGTCAATAAATAAACTAAACTAAACTAAAATAAAATAAAGAAAACCCACAGGCCAGGTGTGGTGGTTCATGCCTGTGTAATCCCAGCACTTTGGGAAGCCAAGGCAGGAGGATCACTTGAGCTCAGAAGCTTGACAGCCTGGGCAACATAGTGAAACCCTCTTCTTTAAAAAAAGTTAAAAATGTAAAAAACATATAGCTTTTAGGGCAAAAAAAAAATGTATATATATATATATATATAGCCTGGGCATGTTGACTCACACCGGTTATCCCAGCACTTTGGGATGCTGAGGTGGGAGAAGCTCTTGACTCCATGAGGCATAGGTTGCAATGAGTTAAAATCATGCCACTGCACTCCAGCCTGAGTGATAAAGCAAGACCCTGTCTCGAAAATAATAAAAACCAGCCTGGCTAACATGGTGAAACCCTGTCTCTACTAAAAATAAAAATACAAAAATTAGCCAGGGATGGTGGCACATGGCTGTGACCCCAGCTACTCAGGAGGCTGAGGTGCAGGAATCACTTAAACCTGGGAGGTGGAGGTTGCAGTGAGCTGAGACTGCACCATTGCACTGCGGCTGGGGCAACAGAGTGAGACTCCATCTCAAAACAATATTAAAAAAAGAAAATCAAACCCACAGAAAATATTTATATTTACTACAAAACAAGATATCCTTATAATCCCCAAAATACAAGAGGGAGGGGCAAACCCCAAACAGACCTGCATACTGATGCAATCTGTGTGGAGGATGCCGGAGACAGCAATAGGGCTCCTGAGAAACCAGAGGACAGGAGTCCCCAGAAGAGCCAACAGGTTCCCTCTGGAGCACAGGGGTCCAATCTGAGAACAGCAGCTACAATGAATGGGGAGAGATTGTGCCCGCTTCACCAGCTAGCAAGTGCCAGGGCTAGCGACCTGGCTCCAGCCTGCTCTCAAACCTGAGTCCCAGCTCCCTGCCAGGACAGGGCCCCATGACAAGGAGAATGGAATCAAAACTGAGCAGGACAAGGCCCAGCAAGAGAGATGAAGAAAACAGAAGGTTCTAAAAACATTGGGCAAGTGGACCAGAGCCAGGAAATCTCATCACAGCCAGCACCATATTTCTGAGCAGTTCACAAAAGCAACACAAGGCGGAGCTCGGTGAAGTCAGCAATGCCACCCTGAGCCACACTTCATCTAAAAGTTAGAAAAGCAGCAAGGAAAAAAAAAAAAAGCAGCAAGGACAAGGAGCAAGACACAGCAAGAGGGAGAAGGGGCCGGCTCTGGCTTGGGGGAGGAACTAGGATGGGGTTGAGCTTTGGATTCCATAGCCCTGTCCCCAGGCCAGTGTCTGGCTGTCACTTCCCTGGCTCACCTGGTCTCTTGCTGTGAGGCAGGGCAGGTAAGGCAGAATCTCTACAACATCCACATTGCAAAAATTGCTGAAATGTCTGCAGATATACTTATAGGTTTTGTCTTCAGCAAACGGCATTGCTGCTCAGATTCTGGAGAGAGGGCTCTGGCCCCATGAAGGGTGGATGGACTGACAGGAAACGAGACTGGAAGAAAACAGATCACATATTATACACGGTTGGGAGTGGGGCTGGACAAAAGGCAATTATTTCTCAACTTTTTGGAATTTTTGTTTTCTTTCATCTTTAAATCTTTTTTTTGAGACAGTGTCACCCAGGTTGGAGTGCAGTGGTGCAATCTCAGCTCAATGCAACCTTTGCTTCCTGAGTTCAATTGTGTCTCCTGCCTCGGCCTCCCAAGTAGCTGAGATTACAGGCGTGCACCACCATGCCCATCTAATTTTTGTATTTTTAGTAGAGATGTGGGTTTACCATGTTGGCTAGGCTGGTCACAAACTCCTGACCTCAAGTGATCTACCCACCTCGGTCTCCCAAGATTTGAGATTACAGGTGTGAACCACCGCGCCCACCTTTTTTTTTGTTGCTGTTGTTAAGAGATAGGGTCTCACTCTGTTACCTTGGTTGGGTGCAGTGGTGCAATCATAGCTCAGTGCAGCCTCAAACTCCTGCGTTCAAGCAATCTTGCCACCTCAGCGTCCTAGGTAGCTGGAACTACAGACTTGTGCCACTGCGCCCAGCTAATTTTTAAAATTTTTCTAGAGACAGGGTCTTGTGATGTTGCCCAGTCTGGTCTCAAGCCCCTGGCCTCAAGTGATCCTCCTGCCTCAGCCTGTCAAGTAGCTTGGATTGTAAGTGCCAGCCACTGTGCTCAGCCATCTTTAGTTTCTTCAAACATCCTATTTATTACTGCCTGGGTCTCTCCAAGTTTCCTGCAGAATTTGCTAAAAATGAATTGATAACCAGCAGCTACTAGAGAAGCTAGGGCAGAAGGATCTCTTGAGCCCAGGTGTTTGAGGCCAGCCTGGGCAACACAGCGAGACCCCATCTCTAAAAAAATAAAAATAAAAATAATTGATGGCCAAAAAGAATCAGATCCAGAATACCTAGGGCCCATTTCTGTCCTGTAGGTTGGTCAGCATTGGGGGAGGTCTGCGTGTACTCCTAGCACATGTGGTGGAAGGATCTGTATGTAACCATAGTTTAGGTGCCTATGAAATGTCCTGGCTCTCCTCCTGGCTCTAAAGGCCCTCAAGCTGATAAGCAAGAGGGCTGTACCTAAAAGTGCTGCTGCTTTGGGACATACTGAAAAAATTAAAAGTGAAGCCCAATATGATAATAATAGGATCATCCTACTTTAAAGAAGAAAAGTTTTTTTGGAGACAGAGTCTCTGTCATCCGGGCTGGAGTACAGTGGTGTGATCTAGGCTCATTGCAGCCTCCACCTCCCAGGTTCAAGCAATTTTCCTGCCGCAGCCTCCCAAGTAGCTGGGATTACAGGAGCCCACCATCATACCTGGCTAACTTTTTTGTTTGTTGTTGTGAGCCACCGTGCCTGGCCAACTTTTGTATTTTTTAGTAGAGACAGGGTTTCACTATGTTTTCCAGATTGGTCTCGAACTCCTGACCTCAAGTGATCCGCTTGCCTTGGCCTCCCAAAGTGCTGGGATTACAGGTGTGAGCCACTGTGGCCGGCCTAAGTTTAAAATTTTTAAGTGCCAGCCGGGTGCGGTGGCTCACACCTGTAATCCTAGCACTTTGGGAGGCCAAGGCAGATGGATCACCTGAGGTCAGGAGTTTGAGACCAGCCTGGCCAACATGGAGAAACCCCATCTCTACTAAAAATACAAAAAAATAAGCTGGGCATTGTGGCAGTCGCTTGCAATCCCAGCTACTCAGGAGGCTGAGGCTAGAAAATCACTTAAACCCGAGTCGGAGGTTGCAGTGAACCAAGATCAGGCCATTGCACTTCAGCCTGGGCAACAGAATGGGGCTCTGTCTAAAAAAAAAAAAAAAAAAAAAAAAAAATTAAGTGCCTCAAATATAAGCAATTGCTAACAGTTGTTTATGTAGGAGTTACCACAATTTGCAATTATAGATGTTTTTGCTTGTTTCTTTTTTGCCTCCCCCATCAGGGAGTGCTGCAGGGAATAAAAGAGACAAGGTCTGTGCCGCATCCAATTTATATTCTACTGGTGTGGGACAAATAGCAGATCAGTAAATTCTTACCCAAATAAGAATTCCAGATGGCAATAAAGGTTCTAAAGAAAATAAAGCAGGTAAAGAGACACAGCCCCTGGAGACAGGCATGGTACTTGAACTAGGGGGGTCAAAGAAGCCTTTCTGAACTAGTGTTAAGAACACAGTTGAGCCGTTCTCAGGCTCTGAGAAGATTTGTGTTTTGGGCAGAGGGCATGGTAAATGCAAAAGTCCTAAAATGGGATGAGCTTGGCATATTTGAAGAATAGAAAGCAGGTCAGTGTGGTCAAGGTTAAGAAAGCTAGGGAGAGGGGCAGAGATGAAGGTCAAGGAGGTGAAAGGGACCACTCATGTAGGGTGTGGTAGGAAAGGACTCTGGGTTTTAGTTGGAGTGAAACAGGGACCCACTGGAAGGTTCTGGCAGGAAAAGAGGAGGATGTGATTTACATTAAAGATTTCTCTGACAATTGTGAGGACTTTGGAGGGGCCAGGATGAAAACTGGGAGACCAGTCAGGAGGCCACAGCCCAGGAGACTGGATGATTATGGCCAGGATGGGAACCATAGAATTGGCAGGAGGCAGCCAGATTCCTGGTGTTTTGAGGGTGTAGGAGATAAGGGAGAGAAAAGAATCAAGGATGACTCCTTAGGCACTGGGCGGATGGCAGGTGCCCTTTTACCACACCAGAGAAGCCAGGGGAGGAGGAGTGGCTCAGAAGGAACTCCAGAACTCAGTTCTGAACAAGTGAAACTTGAGCTATTGGATTCCTAGTGGGCTGTCAGGCAGGGAAGGAGGCAGAAGAGGACCAAGCAGGCATCAGGCAAGCATGAGACCTCTAGGAGGCAGTGCTGCAGAGCAGACAGCACCTAAAAGCTGCTGGGCCACCAAACCCTCCTCACAGGGGAAACAGTCTTGTCACTGGCCTCAGAGTCTAACATGCACCACTTGCTTTGCCAACCAACAGGCGCTGCTGCATTCCTTGTGGGCCAAGTGCAAATGACAGTTAAGGAGGGTCAGGAAGGTGAAGTAGGGGTCCTCTGAGCCTTCAAGAAATGAGCAAAGTGCTGGGCGTGGTGGCTCATGCCTGTAATTCCAGCACTTTGGGAGGCTGAGGCAGGAGAATCACTTGAACCCGGGAAGCGGAGGTTGCGGTGAGCCAAGATCATGCACTGCACTCCAGCTGGGGACAGAGTGAGACTCCGTCTCAAAAAAAAAAAAAAATGAGCAAAAACCAACTCTGTGGCAGTTAATAGACCACTTTCTCGGCCAGGCATGGTGGCTCATGCCTGTAATCCCAGCACTTTGGGAGGCCAAGGCAGGCAGATCACCTGAGGTGAGGAGTTCGAGACCAGCCTGGCCAACATGGTGAAACTCTGTCTTTACTAAAAATACAAAAATTAGCCAGGCATGGCATCAGACACTTGTAATCCCAGCTACTTGGGAGGCTGAGGCATGAGAATCTCTAGAACCCAGGAGGCAGAGGTTGCAGTGAGCTGAGATCAGGCTACTACACTACAGCCTGGGCCACAGAGTGAGATTCCATTTCAAAAAAAAGAAACAAAACCATTTCTCCTTCCTTTCTCACGGCATCAGCCAGGTACCAGGAGATAATCAGATGAGGCACTCTAGCCTCAACCCCTACAACACACATGGTGGGGAGGGGATGATGTAGCCCAATCAAAAGGAAAGGAAGCCCACGTCTGTTCACACTTATTGAGGGCCAACTGTAGACAACCACATCCTAAGGTTCTCTTAGTTAATCCTTCCCCAATCCCGTGACAGGCGAAGTGATGCCAAGGTGCACAGCTGGCCAGAGGCTAGCACAGGATTTGAACCCAGAATCTGCTACCTCACTGCAGCTGGTCATACACCTTGCAGGGTACAGGGACCCCTGCAGCAAGTGAGACCCACACAGCCACCTGCCTTCAAGCCCAAAGAGGGCCCAAGGTCACTTGTGGGAGAGGCGGAGGGTGCACTAGGGAGGAAGCAACATTTAGTCCAGACATTAACCCTGCCCTCACATTGCGTCCACAGGTCCCAAGTCGTTGGCTGTCCTCCTAGATAGTTTTGAGGCTTCACGACTTGCATACAGAGAATGCCTTCTTCGTTGTTTTGGTTTGTTTCATTGTTTTCCTGGCACCTCTTTCCAATCTGAGAAGGAAGGAAGTGACAGAGTGTTCTCGATGCAGCAAAGTTTCCGACCTGAGTGTCCAGAGGCTGAGTGCGTCCCGGAAATAAATACCCACCCTCCCCAAAGGGACAGGCCTGACAGCCTCGGATCGGATTCCTGGGCGAGACCAAGGTGCGCGGAGCGCGGGGAAGCTGTTCTGAGCTGGTATCGCCGCCGAGAACTGTCCACACCCAGGGGAGGGCGGCAGTACTCGAGTTCAAGGCGCGGCCAGTCGAGGCTCGGCCTCACCTTAGAGTCACCCTGGGCCTGTGGGTAGCAGGAGGTCAGCGGCCGCTGCCCGTCCACTTCCGGCCCTACTTTTCCCCCAGACAGAGCAGACGCCCAGCGCCACCTACCCCTTTTCCCCGGTGCTGGATGCGGCGCCTGGAGCCCTCAGTGTTCCCGAACCCCGTGTGCCTCAGGGCCGGCTCTTCCCGAGCCCCGCGCGCCCCAGACCCAGGGCGCCCCGGCGGACTCGGTCCTTCCGCTGCAGCCACCTTCCCTAAAGGCATCCGTGTGTACTGAGCATAGAGGACCAAGCGCCCCAGCGGCGATCTTACCTCGGGTACCCCCGGCCCTGCGACCTGGCGACCGCCGCCCGGGGCCTACGACCCTCCCCGCAGAGGCGGCGGGGCGGGCAGGGCGCGCGACCATTGGCCACCTGGAGGGGCGGGGCTTCCCGGCCGCGCGTGATTGGCTGGCGGCTCAGGGGCGGAGCGGCCGAGGAAGGCACTGGGCCTTGGTTGGCGGGTCGGGACACGCTAGACTAGGCTCGGAGAACCGACCTGATTTCCTGCTGGGGGCGCGGGAGAGCGGATTGTTTTCTTCCCTTGTTCGTCTCGAGCAACTTCTAGGGGAAGTCCAGTGTCCGGCCAGACATCAGGCAGGCGGCCGGCCTCGGAGTCATTGGCGGGCTGAGAATTACATCCCCACGCTTCCCAAGTGAAACAGCCCCTCCTCCCGCTGGGAGCTTTGGGGGGCGAGGATCTTCGTGTCGTTCTCTCCTGCATCCTCATGGCCTGGCATACAGTTAGTGTCCAACAAAGGTTGGATGACGCTGAAGTCACAGGGGCAAGGATGCCTAGCCAAGAGACGCGCACGCTGGGCCTGTGGGAACGGGAGCGGGCGAGGGAATGCAGGGTGGGTAGGCGCCAGGCAGGCACTCGCCAAATTGGCTGGCTGGCAGGCTGGGTGTGGGTTAAGTGCTGCGTGGGAGAGGCCTCTTCCGCCCGGTAGGGGGCGGGTACCTCCCGCAGTTCCTGCCTTCTGCCTCGCCCTTCCCCTGCTGGAGCAGAGGCCAGCACTTATTGACCACCTACTGTCTTCCTGGCACAAGGCTTAAAGCCTTATTCTTTAGAGTTCATTAAATACTATCACGATAATCAGGTAGAGTGGGTTTATTCTTCCTGTTTTAAAGAGAGTTTAAGAGATTTGGAAAAATGACAGTCGTTACTAAAGTTAAACGTATGCTAATCCTGACCCAGCAATTTCGCCCCGAGTATATATCTACCTAGAAACATACACCTAGGTAATGTTTGTACTGACTTATTGATGATAGGCAAAATCTGAAAACGCAAATGGTCATCAGCAGGAAAACAGAAAGACAAACTATGGTGTAATCACATCGTGGAATAGTATACGGCAGTGAAAACGAACAAACTATTGACACACAGACATAGGAGGATCTTCCCACAGATGAATGGGCACCAGCAACTAAACAGTGCTTGGTGAATGGAACCAAACACTAAAGAGCACATTCTGTCTGCTTCCAGTCATAATAAGGTTCAAAAACAGACAAAACTAATCTACTAAGTAGAAATTAAATACTGGTAATTTCTGGGGGATGTCGATTGGGGGAGGGGAGGGATGCATACCTTCTAAGGGAGTAGAAATATTCTAAATCTTGATGTGAGTGGTGGGTACCAGAGCTAAAGCATATGTAAAAATGCATTAGCTGTACACTGAAGGTCATGTGTTACTACATACCGCAATTTTAAAAAAGAAGACTTACAGATGCCTAAGTACAGGCTTGACTCCAAAGCCAGTGTTTTGAGGCGGAGTATCACTCTTGTCACCGAGGCTGGAGTGTAATGGCACAATCTCTGCTCACTGCAAACTCTACTTCCTGGGTTTAAGCAATTCTCCTGCCTCAGCCTCCTGAGTAGCTGAGATTACAGGCCCATGCCACCACCCCCGGCTAATTTTTGTATTTTTAGTAGAGGGGTTTTTCTCCATGTTGGCCAGGCTGGTCTTGAACTCCCGACCTCAGGTGATCCACCTGCCTCGGCTTCCCAAAGTGCTGGGATTACAGGCATGAGCCACCAGGCCCGGCCTCAGGTGAGGTTTTTATTACTGTACTTTATAGCCCTGTGGATATTTCACAACCTTCAGCATTTACAAAGTGTGCTTAATCACATCTGAACTGTAATAAAACCAGCTCTGCCTAGTTTAGCCAAGAGGGCATAAGTGTTGATTAGTTCAAGAATCAATCTTGCCTGCTGCCCACTGTGCTCTAGCAGCTTCATATCTAATTATTTGAGGAAGAACATTGAAAGTGTGGGGGCGGGCTTCCAAATGTGGCTATCACTCCTTTCTTTGCTGAACCTCAAAGGGCATTAAAACAATCCCACTGCCTGACTAGGTGGTTCCCTGTCACCTGTCAACAGCATTTTTTTTTTTTTGAGATGGAGTCTTGCTCTGTTGCCCAGGCTGTAGTACAGTGGCACGATCTCGGCTCACAGCATCCTCCGTCACCCGGGTTCAAGCCATTCCCTTGCCTCAGCCTCCTGAGTAGCTGGGACTACAGGTGTGCACCACCATGCCCGGCTAATTTTTTTGTATTTTAGTAGAGACGGGGTTTCACCATATTGGCCAGGATGGTCTCGATCTCCTGACCTCATGATCTGCCCACCTCAGCCTCCTAAAGTGCTGGGATTACAGGCGTGCACCACTATACCAGGCCCTCAACAGCTTTTATAAAAATTTAGACAAAGAACACAACAACATGCTTATAGTATTCCTATCAAAAGCTCATGATCTGAAACAACTCATAGGGAAACAGTAAGCAAACCCCAAATGAGGGACATTTGACAGCTGTCCTGTCCAATACAGTGGCTACTAGCCACATGTAGCTATTTCAGTTAAAATTAAATAATATGTGCCGGGCGCGGTGGCTCAAGCCTGTAATCCCAGCACTTTGGGAGGCCGAGGCGGGTGGATCACGAGGTCAAGAGATCAAGACCATCCTGGTCAACATGGTGAAACCCCGTCTCTA